TGGCATTTGGGTTAATCAGACGATAATTCAACAGTATAGGGTTTAGGGTTACCTACAGGACAGGCAAGAATCTAGAGATGTTTCCGTTGAAAAAGCATGGCCAGAGCATCCGGAAGCGCTGAAGGCAGTTTACAGCGTCGATCATGGAGACATCGGGAAGACCTCACAGAAATTGAATATTCGGATTAAGGAACACTTTTCTGCAGTCTACCTGAGACAGGCTGATTACTCTGGTGTTGCCCAGCACATGTTTTTCTAGAACTATCCGTCAGTCAGATAAGTATGGCTATAATCTATAAGGATCAGACCTGGCTTGGTATTTCGATAAAAAGAAGTTCATGCTCATATTGACAATGAAGCATCCTATGTGTAACGAATATTCATTCGTTGTAATAATCGAAAGCTGCGGTGGCATCCTTAACTTAATGAGAAAATTCGAAATGGCATAATTTGTGGTTGAGACCGAACTCTAAGGTTATGAAAATGATTATTAAAATCTGGTGCTGCCACTCAATTTAAAGCGTGTAATTAAAATCGGCAGCTGCGTAGTAATTAATGCACCCTGGCAATGCAACGGCGTGACAATAAAGTGTTAAAACTGTATTGTTTTGTGCGTACAACCTTGAATCAGCAATCCTTCTGCAATTTCTGACTGTTCCTATTGCGAATTTGTGACCCTTATGACCAACATGTGGTCAGCGCTGTCCAGAACACCGATTTCCGAGTAAAATCTTTATACTTGTTTCCTGTCTGGAACGACAAAATTGAAAATCTTCTTGGTGATCCAGCTGCTCATTTTTGCATGTTTGACTATGGATTAATCATGCTACCGTTTATTTTTGCTTTTGCAAAGCAAAAGCTGAACGGCTGCGAACTTGCGTACGATAATTTTTGCATTTTTGGCTCGAACCGGAATACGCAATCGTGGAGTAGTTGCTCAAAGACTCTTTAGAAGCATACGTTCAGGATTTGTTTTTGCAGCACACATAGCACGACAAGTAATTAATGTTAGATAATTGATGCAAATGATTAATGGGGTATTTTATATCTAGGAGTTATTGGCAATTAATCATTTTCACAATTATGTAACCACTCTCGAAATCAATTGTACCGCTTTGACAAGTGTAAGAGCGATTCTTATTTTTTTACGGACAGCGAAATGAATGAAATGATTGATTTGTTCTGTGACAGCCCGTCGAGATGATCCGCAGCTGTGAGGATCCATCC